CAACAATATTTCATTCTATCAATTTAATCGGGATTTTAAATTAAAGCAGAAATATTCAATTTAAATTTTCTTTTATTATATTTAATTTTAATTTTGCCCCGTCAAAGGCAACCAAAATTGAGGCTAAAAATAGCTAATATATTTTCAGATTATTTCGTATATTCTATTACTTTTATTTTATATATGTCATTCATTTCTATACATTTTATCATTTCCTTATTATTTTATGTATTTTGTCATCTTTGTTTCATATTATTACTCTCATATTTTTAATATTATAACGAATAATGCTGGTTTCGAGTTCCTGTGCTTGTCTCTTATCCCATTAAGTGTATCAAGTCTATTAAGACAGTTAGATCCATTAAGGGTGAAGTTTTCAATTGAACTGCTTGATACGACGTTGCTTTGGCTGTTGATTCGTGTAATTTGTATTTGTTTGCTGTCGTTTTATTAATTGCTCGATTAGTATTCTGTGTGTTTTACGAAATAACGACATTGTGCTGGTAAATTTATTTTTCCTTTCGAACCAGATCGTTCGCTCTAATCGATTGTTTAATGTACGTTAATGAAACGCGTGTGCTGCATATTATTATTTAAATTTGGCAAAATGGTCATTGCAATGCAAATAATGTATTTACAAAGTGGACAACGTTTGCAGATGCACCGATGTTAATTGGCAATAATTAATAATTATTTAAATAAAATGTAAGCACCACAGGTTTGTTGTCCTTCAAAATATCAACGACATATTTATATACTTTGAAGTACAGCAATGCATCTTAATATTTCTGTGTATTTCACGAGCGATTGTGTCACTTTTGATAAGGATTAATTGAGATTATGATTAAGATTAATCAAAATTAATAAAGCCTAGTTAAGATAAAGAAAATAAGTATTTATATTTTTATTAACTTTTTATATTGTATTTTATATGATATTATAATATCATGGTAATACACATTAATATTATTGTGATATAGTATTTTATTTCTCCATTAGTTATTTATTATATTTCCTATATATACGTATGCATAATATTTGTTAATAAGAATAGCCATTTCAAATAATTTGTTATTTATTGCCTTTATCAAAAAATGTTTCCAGTGTTTATGGTT